CTTACTTATAGACTTCACGAAACCTGTTTTTTAGGTAATTTTTGGTCCTACCAGTAGACACCCTTTCGGCACCGCGACCATTTTCGTTAAGAGCATTCCATGGAATATAACAACAAGTGTATCTCGAGCCGGTTTCTCAAACTTACCTACCCCACCTTTAAGAGAAAATAAACAATTAAGCATCTTCTAAAGCAGCCGTCCTCTCCTTTTCACAGCCTGCTTCCTCCCTGCTCCCATCCTTAATACGTGTCAACACTTTGATATGAGGCTGATTTGGAAACGTGACAAAAATCACTACAAACCAATGACACAAAGTATCCTCTTTTCTATTAAGCTATGATTGAATCTGCAGCTGAACAACAACAGATAAAGACCAACAAACGTGCCGTCTCAGACCCAAAAACAGTTGCCCTCTTTCTGAGTCGCAGGCCTCAGCGGGCGGCCGGTGATAGATGGATGTCCGCTGTTTGAACATGAATAAATGAGGAAGCAGCTTCAGAGTTGCAGCTCTGTTTTTCATCAGCGTGTGATGCAACACTTTTCAGTTAATCTGACTCGGCCTGGTTCCTGCCGACAGGGGAGCTCACCTCTGACCCAGAAGTGTGGTTTAAACAAAAATACACTCAAATATCCTCACACACACACACATGGAGGCATGCAAACAACATTTAGTTTTTGGATTTAAGCCGTCGGTCTAATCAAAAAGTGCTAGAAAGACTCGCACACAGACGTCTGCATGTTATATCAGAGATGACAGGGCTCAATCTGCATTTTGGATGTTTCTGTGTTACAAATGAAATGTGAAATTAAAAAAAAATGTAAGCTAACTTCATGTCTTTCGTCTCTTTCTGTCTCTCAGATGCCTATCCGGTGTCCGAGGTGGTCTACACGTGGACTCAGGGAGCGGCTAAGTCTGTGGTTGTAGCTGAAGACGGATCCAGACTCAACCAGTATCATCTCATCGGGCAAACCGCCGGCACAGAGAACATACACACAAGCAGAGGTGGGTGTGTGTGTGTGGATGTATAGATATGAAGATCCATCTGTATAGCCTATACACACAAAGAGAAGGAACTGACATGGTTCTGTGAGAGTGGTTCAACTCACAATATGTCATTTTTCCTCCACTAGAGGTCTCGCAATCAAAACAAATGATGATGTGAAGCAGTGTGGGATCTTGGGAGTTTGTCATTGAGCTTCAAACCAAATTGATTTAAAACGATAAAAACACAGAAGAAACCGTTAAAATGTACTAATTAGTGTTTGCGCCGGACGTCCAATGACTAAAAATGTCCAATTTCTTCATTTGGTTGAAATATATAGTTACAAAATGACCAATATCCTAAAGTGTCTCTGGCAGCCAATCGAAACATAAGGACAACATTACGGGACACTAAATCAAACGGGACTCGCTCTGTTTTCTAGTGTCTGTGAGACGGGTTAAATAAACACTACTTTCCCACATGTAATGAAACTGGGTGGATTTAGATTAATTTATACACATATACTCGGTGCTCTGCAAATCTGCACTCCTTTGCCGCATAGAGCTCCTTTGCTGCATCCCTTCTGTGGGACAAATGATTTAGCCTTTTGTAAAGATGAAACTTATAGATATTTCTGAATTTTTGGAGTTTATTTTTGTGCATGTTACACTTTCTTTTTAAATTATTTCTTCAAGTAGACCAGGGTGTCAAACTCAAGGCCCGGCCCGCGACTTCATTTTATGTGGCCCCGCAAAAGCTTGCAAAGAATATAATACGTTTATTATACGGTTACATGCCGATTTACAGAAGCAGGTTGCCCATAAACTACATGTCCCACAATGCATCTCGTTTTGTTACATGTGCACTGAAGAGACTTGCAATTATTTGCTCTGGACTTCTGCTTTCAGACGTAGTTAATTACTAAGTTATTATCCTATCCGATAATAATCCAATTCAGAGGCAATAATGTAATATACATTATTTTATATATATATTATATATTTATATAGTTACAACCGGCCCTTTGAGTGCAACCTTTATGCGAATGTGGCCCGCGATGAAATTGAGTTTGACACCCCTGCACTACAGGAAAGGGGAAAGTGTGGTTTGTACCTGTTCCAGCAGGTCCTCCACCTTCCTCTGCCAGCCTTCTCTGGACGCCATCATCTCCAGATCTTTCTGCTGCGAGACCTGAGTCATCGCCCCCTGTTTGTCAGCTTCATACTCCTCTGTCAGCTCCTCCTTCAACAGATGCACCTCCTCCCTGCAGATAAAAGGCCACACTTTAGTCTTTTGTGCCTTTTATGCATCGTTTACTGCGACTTTAAATATCGTACGCCTTCTTAAACTTGTGTTAATTCCCCCTCTGTTGTTATCGTTATCAGTGAGCGCTTTAGGAAACAAGTTATGCTAATAGAGAGTGTGATGGTGGAGCAGAGGGGGCGAGACATGACAGAGATGGATGAGGAAACAAATGGGACGAGCACAACACCAGAGAGTGAAACTGACAGGCTGACAAAGAGTGTAACACATCTGAAGAGTGTTTTTTTTCTTACTAACCGCAGTGCATTTCTCCACTTCTGGTCCAAGTCGTCTGCCATCTTGTCCATCTTCTGTTTCTCTTCTGTTCGGATGGACATCACTCTGGCGTCGTGCTGCTGCCGCTGGGTCTCGATCTCCTCCTTTAAACACAAACTTTAGCCTTAATACGATCTTAATAATATCTTCATGCTTGCCTTTTTTGGACTTTTACATGCCTTCCTTCCCCTTAGAGGCACAATCAGAACTGGTTTGCTAACTTTTGTTTTTCAGCCAGTCTACAACGTGTGCTAATGTACTCAATGCAGTGGCGAACCGTGTCTCTCACAACTGGACCTTCTGTAGACACCCCCCCCCGCCGCTATAATGTCCGTCTTTTCACTGAATTGTTGTCTTGAAAACGGTACTCACAACAATTCCGCAACAACTTCACCTTCACCTGTTGCCCTTGCCATTTCAACGTTAAAAACAATAAAACGGCATGAATTGCTTCGTGGCATTCATCTAGATCCTCTGTCTCGAGCCAGTTAACTAGCGGGCCTTCTAGAGCAGTGGTTCTCAAAGTGGGGTCCGCGACCCCCCGGGGGTCCGTGGCACTCTGCCAGGGGGTCCGTGAAAAGTTTTCAGATTCATTAATCTAAAAAATCATGATATCATTTTTTTTTCTTTTTTTTTACAAAAAGCTTCATAGTTCAACAAATATTATTTTTTTTTAATCTAAAATAGTTCATAGATTACGTTCTAATCTAACAAATCTATACATTTAAAAATCAAGCGTGTCACCCGTTACCATGGAAACAACAATAACTGGTACGTCAGTCAGAGAGCGCCACTGCTAGCATACTACGAAGATGGACAGATTTTTACGTCGAGGTCTCTGACCCGAAGCTCGTCTCCTCATAGACTTTGGCTCTCCTTCCTCCACTTCTTTGCGGGTGTCTAGTACTCTGTGTGTTGTCTGTCGCTCTGTTGTGTCGTCGTGTGTGTGTGTGTGTGTGTGTGTGTTGTGTGTGGTGTGTTGTTGGTGTGTGTGTGGTGTGTGTGTGTGTTTGTGTTGTGTGTGTGTGTGTGTGTGTGTGTGTGTGTGTGTCCCCAATTTACCGCCCTTGCTAGGTCTTATCGCCAAGGCCGTGGAAGCTAATTTCAATTTAATTTAGACTAACCGTCAAAGTATGTATTATTACAGTTCTCTCAAGTGTCCGACGGTTGAGAGTGTGTTAACTGTACAAAAGTGTGCGAGAGTCGTGTTCAGGTAAAAGGTCGTCACTTTTTGTTTAATTATTTGACTATTACAGTACCACGCTTTCTCCTGTGATGACCGTGTAACGCGTTGTCGTCGTTGGTTCTTTCGTCTGGTAGACTTATCGCTACTTTATTAATGTGTTTACATTTAATATAACATTGAATAAGGGGTACGTACAACGGAGTTTCTTAGAGTCAGTCGGAGGTGAAGACGCAGGAAGGGAGAGGAGAGCGCGGTCACGGCTACTCGGCGCGTCTCGCCTGTGGTAGTCACCTGAGTAGGTTAACCTTGGACGCTTAAATCTTGGGTGAGGTCAGAAAGGTCGTCAACACTAAACTATATCGTCCTGTACAGGATTTAAGCAGCAAGACGAGAATCGTCTTTGTCTGCATTGTAATGGTAGGCAACAACAACGACCGCCATCAGGAGAGCGGGAAGGAGAGTTTTTTTCGGGCCAGAAACAAAAATGTTATAGACCTAACGAACCAGAGCTCCTCCAACGGAGAAGTTAAACCGTCCGAAGTAGGCGGAGTAACCGTTTCTTGGCTCGTATAGTTGTAAAGCCAAAGGGAAGGTGAAGTTTGATTTAGGTTAAACCTCTATGAGGTAGTAAGCATAAAGAGAAAAAATGAAAAAAAACAAAAAGTTAAATAAGTAACACATCGGCATTGGCCAGCAAAATTTTTAGACAGGTAGAAG